GGAGGAGGGGAGGTGGGGTCCTGTTCAGACGGAGCACCCACAGGGGAGCGCGGCGACCGGCGAAAAACCCACGTTCGTCTTGGCGCTGTGAACACCCTCTCCCTCCAGCCCCTTCTTTTGGTCTCTGCCTGTCTGTCTCTCTTCCTCTTGTCTCTCTCTCTCTCTCTCTCTCCTTCTTCCATCGCTTCCTTCCCACTTCCTCTGCGCCGTTGTGCTCGGTGAAGCGTAGGAGGAGAGAAGGAAGCGGGGAGGATATTTTTTTTCTTCTTTCTTATTCTCCTCTCTCTCTCTCTCTCTCTCTCTCTCTCTCTCTCTCTCTCTCTCTCTCTCTCTCTCTCTCTCTCTCTCTCTCTCTCTCTCTATCTATCTCTCTCTCTCTCCCTCCCTCCCTCTCTTCCTCCTCCTCCTCTCTTCTTCTTCCTCCTACTCATCTTCTTCTCCGTCTTCTTTTCCTCCTCCTCCTCCTCTTCCTCTTTCTTCCTCCCCTCCTCCTCCTCAGAGACAGTCGGAAACATTACCAGCAAGGACCTGCCCAAACACCGTATCTCGGCGTCACTCCACTAGCCACTGCCTCCGTCACCCCCTTCCCCTTTCCCCTTCCCCCCCTACCTCCTTCTCCCCTTTCTCCCCCCCCTTTCCCCTACCCTCCTCTGTCCTCTTGCTCCCATACACCTCCTCCACCTGTAAACCCCCCCCCCCCACCTCCATCAACCCCCCTCCCCCCGTCACCTGAGGATCTAGCCGGGGAGGGGGAGGGGGGGTAAGAGGTCTGGGTTCTGGGTTAGTGTCTTAAATCTCGACCTCAAGATATACATGATTAAATTTATGCGATTAAACTTTGCAAAGTGTTCCGTGGTCTATGTGTCTGTGCGTGTGTCTGTGTGTGCGTTTGTTTGTGTGTGTGTGTGTGTTTGTGTGTGTGTGTGTGTTTGTGTGTGTGTGTGTGTGTGTGTGTGTTGTTTGTGTGTGTGTGTTGTGTGTGTGTGTGTTGTGTGTGTGTGTGTGTGTGTGTGGTGTGTGTGGTGTGTGTGTTTGTTTGTGTGTGTGTGTGTGTGTGCGGATTTACACGTAAATAAACCTAGTGTTCTTTGTGTCCGCGTGTTCGCCGGAGCATCTGTGTCTGTTCTACACATGTGTGCGTATTCTTTTGTGTATATTTTGAAGCTAGTGGGACACACCCGTGTTTCCTAGTTAATATTATATCCCTTTGAAATGTCAGTCGCCGTGTCCTCTTTCGATTTTTTTTTTCAACATTGATTGACCACATTAGACGAAAGCTGATATGCTAATTCAATGTTAAATTTGTAAACACTCCTGCGAGAGGTGTTCTTTCTCCGCTTCAGATCAAAAGTGTAAAAATGTGTTTATGTGTGTGTGTTTGTGTTTTGTGTCATTTGTTAAACGTTGGAATTTGCATAAACGCGCATGCAGGAGGGACGGATGGTTGAAAGTCCGGTTCATATATACAGAAAAATAGATCTTCCATCCCTGCCCATCAGAAAACGATTAAAAATAATAAAATGATCGAGACACGTTTATATCAGATTTTTTTCTTTTACTGACTAAAAAAAAAAAAAGAAAAGAAAAAAATATATGGTATGGGAAGGGAGACAGGGGAGAAAAGGGGGGGAGGGGGAGTGAGGAGGTGGGAGAAGAAGAGAAAAGGGGGTGGGGGAAGGGGTGAGGGGGGTACGAAGAGGGGAGAGGGGGGGGGGGTGGGAAGAAGAGAGAGGGGGTGGGAGGGGTGCGAGGGTGGGAGGTGAGCAAGGGGGGGGGGGGGGGTGAAGGAGGGGAGTGAGGGAGGGAAAAGAGGGGAGTTGCCACCAACCTTCTGCCCTCTCTGCGGATGACATCATATTGCACAGATTGACGGCAAATATTTCAGGCATCTTGGATGTTATGTCCAATATTTACTACTCTCCTCTTCCCTCTTTCCTCCCCTCTCTCTCCCTCCCACTCCCTTCCTCCCTCTCCCACTTCCTCCCTCCCTTCATATATCCTACTCCCTCCTCTCTCCCTATCTCCCTCCCTCCCTCCTGCCCTCCCTGCCTCCCCATCCCCCTCCCTTCCTCCCGTCTTTTCGAATATTGTTCGAAAAATGAGGGGAGAGTACAGTTAGGGAAAACGATTCGTTATTGTCCCTCTCCTGCTTACCTGTGTTGCTCTCTCTCTCTCTCTCTCTCTCTCTCTCTCTCTCTCTCTCTCTCTCTCTCTCTCTCTCTCTCTCTCTCTCTCTCTCTCTCATTTCTCTGTCTCCTCTATAAGGCATATAGAGAGGAGAGAGAGAGAGAGAAGAGAGAGAGAGAGAGAAGAGAGAGAGAGAGAGAGAGAGAGAGAGAGAGAGAGAGAGAATAAAGGAGTGATACTGCTTCCTGTCTGCTCGTCACCGATCCTCACCCTTATGTACGGGTACCATAAGACCGAAATCCCCACCGTATACAATAATGGCGGTTGGTACATTGTTGCATAATTTGCCAATATTGATGTCCTCTTCCCCCCTTTTCTTTTTCTTCTTCTTTTTTTCTCCCTCTCCCTCTCTCTTTCGATATATCGTCAGTGTCCATACCTTAGCTTCCTGTTTTATTTTTCGAAAACAGTCAGAGTGAGCCTTTTCTTATTTCTCTCGCTCTCTTTTTTTCTTTCTTTTCTTTCTCTTCTTTCTTCTTTCTTTCTTTTCTTTCTTCTTTCTTCTCTCCTCTCTCTCTCTCTCTCTCTCTCTCTCTCTCTCTCTCTCTCTCTCTCTCTCTCCTTCTTCTTCTTTCTCTGTTTTCTTCCACATTTGCCAAAAGATTGTGAGATTGTGTCACTGTCCTTCCTTTTGCGAAACCCTTAATTACTGTATTATTTAACTATCTTCTCTACCCTTTTATCTTTCGCGAGATGATGTGTTCCCGTCCGTCAGATGGATGCAAATGCAGTGCAACTTCGTGAAGGGAGACCTCTCCTCCCCCCTCCCCCCTCTCAAAAAAAGAAAAAAGAAAAAGAACTTATATTCTAGTTGCGTTGGAGAGTTAAAAAATGCATGTTTGTACAGTATTAGCCGCAAACGGGAACCAGTAACACGAAGCCGAAGTCACTTTGCGGCGATACGGATCAGCTCGAGTCGGAGGCTGTGTCGCGTGGAGGGAGGCCAGTGTTGCCAAGGTTGGACGCCGACCTTCCTTGCGCGCCGCGTCATAAAAGTCTTCTTACACCGCTTTTTAAACCTCCCATGATTTCACATCCTATATAGAACATTTCCTGAACAAAATCAAAACCAAACGGAACTCCCCAATCTAAAAAATAAGAAAAAAAACCCTCGTATAAGCACAAAAATGAGGAAGAAAAACGGAGGAAAAATTTCTCTCTCTCCCTCCCTCGCCGCACCGCCCCGCATGGCTTGGCAACAGTGAACACAAACAATGGTGTCCACGCTGGCTGAAGATGCACACAAGAACCCCCGCGACCACGCATTCGGACAAGGAGCGATTTGCATAAACGTTATTATTATGATTTTTGCGTCGCCTTCTTTGTTTGATTGTTTGTTTGTTTGTTAATTTTGCTTCGTCTTGTTTGTCTCTCTCTCTCTCTCTCTCTCTCTCTCTCTCTCTCTCTCTCTCTCTCTCTCTCTTTCTCTCTCTCTCTTACTCTTCTCTTACTCTCTCTCTCTCTTCCTCTCTTTCTCTTCCTCTCTTTACTCTTCTCTCTTTCCTCCTCCCCCTCCCTCCCCCTCCCTCCCTCTTTCTCAAAAAAATGAAAATAAAATAGAACCAAAAGTAAAGAAAGAAAAAGAGAGAAAAAAAAGAGATTACAAACGAAGTTTATTTGTTTACCTTCCTCCGAGAACCGCAGCGTGTTATGCGGCGCTTGGTTCTAACAGCATCACCGGTTAAAAAGTCCTTCAGATTGCCGGTGTGTGGCGTGCTGGCGTTCTACGAGGACGCGCACACATGTACACATACACATACTCACGCATATACATGTACATTTACATATGTATATTCACATAAATATGAACATCTATGTGCAAAAACGCATACACATATATGTACACACGCACGCGCGCGTACACACAGACACACAAACACACCTAGACAGATATATCATCATAATCATCATAATCATTATCATCATAATTATCATTCTTCTCATTACTATGATTGAGATTTGCGTAAGAAAGTTTACAATGTTGGTGAGGTACATGCTGGCACCTCATGAGAAGGGGGAGGGGAGGGGAGGGGTGTAAGGAGCGGGGGAGGGGGGGGAGAGGCACTTCAATATGTATTTTTTGGGAGTTGGTGGGAAACTTTCTTGGTGGGGGAGGGGGGGGGGTGGCCCCAGGAGACTCGCGGCACCGAACACCTTGTCCCGATCCTTGCTTCGTATCTTCGTTGTGTTTTTTCTGTTTTGATTTTGATAACCTTCCTTTCGCTCGCGATAAGGGAATATATTGTGAATTATCGTTATGACTTGTTTCGGTTTATCATTTATTTATTTTTTAAAAGAATTTAGGAAAACAAAATGGTTATGAATCCTTTCCATAAAAAAGTGAAAATGAAATGTTTTGACAGAAGCGTCGACGCATCGGGACGCGGCGAGGCCCAAGTCTGATGCATTATCTTTGGTCAGTTGTATAAGTAGGCAGCTGAGGCGAGTGGAAATTGCATTGTCCTTTCATGGTAGAATTGTATCGACAGGCCAGTGGCATCCCACGGGACGGCAGGTAGATTGGCTGGGACGTGTCCTGTCTCGTCCTGCCGTCCTGCTCGCTTTCAGCCTGTCCCTCGGCTTTGTCTGAAGGGATCGAGTCGGCTTGGTCGGGTCGGGTCGGGTCGGGTGGGTCGGTCGGGTAGGTCGGACAGGCGTATATTGTGATCGCCGGGTTGGTTGAGCGACGAACGAGGTTGGGTTCGGATTCTGGCGCTTCGGGGATTCAGGTGGCGGGGTCGATGGGGTTGTTTTGTGTTGATATTAGTGTTGGTTTGTTGTCGAATGTGACTAACGCTCGTCTTCTCTTGCAGAGCCTGCGCGATACGTGTGCGGGACGTGCGGCGCCGTGCTAGGCTCAGCGTGGTCGCTCGTGCAGCACGTGCAGTCTTCGCACGGCATCATCATCTACCAGGAGGCCCCCGGGGCCACCCCCCTGTCCACGCCGTCGACGCCCCCGGGCCTCCCGCGCCCGTCGCACTCGTCCCCGCTGGCGTCCGTGTCGTCCACCGCCCCCACGGCGTCGGCGCCCCACCCGCCGCCCCTGCAGCTGCTGGACCCCGCCAAGGTGGACCTGAGCAAGGTGGACATCACCAAGGTGGACCTGTCCAAGGTCGACCTCAGCAAGATCGTCCCGCCTGTCACTTCGGGCGCCACGCCCCTGCCGCCTCACCCGCCCGTGACGGCGCCCCTCCTCGACCCGACACATCCGTTCAACCTGCTGCGGATGCCCCTCGGAGACGCCCGCGCGCCCTTCCCGCCCGGACTCGCCCCGCCCTTCGTCCGGCCGGGCCACGACTTCCGCATGGACCAGCTCCTGCAGGAGGGTCTCCGACTCAATCCCGGTCTGTTGCCGCCGCACTTCGAACGGCCGCCCTTTCTTGACCCCGGGCTGGGTGCACCCCGCCATACGGCGCCCACGCCCCTAACTGCTGGCGGAGACCCCAACCTTGATTTCTACTCGCAGCGCCTTCGGCAGCTGGCGGGCACCACCAGCCCCACCAGCTCCACCTCGCCGCGGAAGCCCCTGCCGACGCCCCCTCCCCGCCCTTCTCCTCCCCAAACGCCCCCACCCCTTCCAGCCTGGCGCCCTCGCAGACTCCCACCTCCACCCGCTGCGACGCCCTCGCGCAACAGCACGAGCGGCGCTTCAAGTGCATCACCTGCTGCAAGTGCTTCCGCTGGGAGAGCAACCTAGCCATCCACCAGCGCCTGCACACGGGCGAGAAGGACATCCGCTGCCCTAGATGCCCAGAGACGCTGCCGACGCCGCAGAAGCTCCGCCTGCACATGAAGGCCCACAGGAAGAACTGCAACACCGAGAGCACATCGCCCGACTCCTCGCGCCCTCAGACTGAGGACGACGTCGACGACGAGGAGGAGGAAGAGGAGGAGGAGGAGGAAGAGGACGAGGAGTTGGACGAAGAGGAGGACAACCCCTCCGTGTGCGACAGCAATGACGAGGACGACGACATCGTGGAGGAGGAGGCCGAGGACGACGAGCCGGAGGACCTGTCGACCACGTCCAAGTCCACGGGCTCGGGCCCCGCCCCGCAGAGCGTCTCCTCCAGCACCACAGACAATAACAACAAGTCCAGATCCGACCAACAGAAGTCCGTGGTCGGGGAGCTCATGGACAAGTTCGGGCTGGCCAACATCTCGGCGTACAGCGAGGCCTACCACCAGGCCCTGAAGGAGTCGGGCCGCCTCCCGCCGCCGCACATCGGCAAGGACGGCGAGAAGATCCACACCAACGGCATGGAGAAGCTCAAGCTACGAGACGACCTGACCAAGGGCCTGATGGGCTCGCAGCCCTCGCTCGACCTCGCCCACCAGACGCTGCTGGGCGCCTTCGACAACCCGTACGAGGCGCAGAAGCGGCTGGCAGCCGCGCAGAGGGACAGCAGCCTGTACGCAGGCCTGTGGCTCCCCAACCTGGCTGGCACCGGCACCACCCCCAGGGACCTGTTCCCGGGCCTCCCGCCCTCCGAGGGGAACTTCCTGCAGCGGAAAATCCTCGACGGCTCCGTGAAGGCCGGCGAGCTGTCCCTGGCGAAGCCGGGCACGAGCTCGGCGCCCAACACGCCGATCTCGCTGGTGCCGCCGTCGAAGAAGGAGAAGCGGAACGACACGTGCGAGTTCTGCGGCAAAGTGTTCAAAAACTGCTCCAACCTGACGGTGCACCGGCGGTCCCACACCGGCGAGAAGCCCTACAAATGCGACCTGTGCAGCTACGCCTGCGCGCAGAGCTCCAAGCTGACGCGGCACATGAAGACGCACGGCCGCATCGGCAAGGACGTGTACCGCTGCCGCTTCTGCGACATGCCCTTCAGCGTGGCCTCCACGCTGGAGAAGCACATGCGCAAGTGCGTCGTCAACCAGAACAAGAAGGGGCTGTTCCCGCCGCTGTCCGGCTCGCACGACGGCCTCGACTCGTACAAGGGCCTGCACTTCACGCCCGTCATCAGCGACGACTCGTCCAAGTCGGGCGGCCTCTTCTCGCCGCACTTCACGGCCGCCGCCGCCGCCAACACCTCCAACGACGACACCGGCGACTCCTCCAACCTGTCGGGCCCCGGGTCTTGAGATTGGGCCCCGTGGTAGCGCCCCTTTGCCGCCGCCAGGGCCCCAGGGGCTCACCCCCCCGGCTCTGGGCTTCTCCAGAGCGGCTACTCACCCGTGGGTGGCTTCGGGCCGCCCACCGCCGCCACTCCTACTTCGGGGAGTGTCTGGCCCTCTGGCCCGACGGCGCCGCCTGGCCCTCGCCCGTGGTGGCACGCGCCCTCTGACGCCCTCGCGAGCCCCGCCCCGCCACGTGACCACCGGGGGGGGCGGCAGGGCGGGTGGTGTAGCCCGCACATTCCCACACCTCGCGTCACCTGACTTCCCAGTGAGCGGCGCCCCTCCCGCCCACGCGGACCTGGGCGCCTCAACAAGCTAGTCCTCTGTGTTGTGCAACGGTAACAGCAGCAGCAGCAGCAGCAGCCAGGAGGGCAGCACGCGGACACTCAGCCTATTGTTCCTATTGATGTTATGTGTTGTGTATTGTATGTTGTCCTACCTTACCTGGTCACAACGGCGGTTCGTGGCGGCGCCGCGGCCGAGCGCCACGGGCCCAGTTCGCCGCGAGAGGGCCGCACAGCCGGGCCGCACAGCCGGGCCGCAACTCCCGGACACAGGGAGAGGAAAGGAAGCCGCAGACACCGAGACACGCCTCAAGACCATCCAGAATGCAGATGTTCTTTCCGATTCGTATTTTTTACTCTTCGATCATTATTATTTCCCTTCGCTAATTTATTATTATTATCATTGTCATTGTTGATCTATTCTTAGCTCAAACTCTATAGAATGATTCATTACTTTCTCTTCGGGAATAGATTTCTTGCGATTTCTTTATTTTTCACACTTTTCGAAAAAGAAGAAAAAAAAGTGAAAGATCTTATTATCACCTCTTTTTCTTATCATTTCATTCGGTTATCCAATCTATTTTCTTCATCATTTTTATCTTCCCTTATCTTTTTTAAAATCTTATTTGTTATCTTCAAAACTATAGAGAAAAAAAATAAGGCGATAAAGGCCAGTTTGTTGATATGTAAATGTTTATGTCTATTTTTTTTTTCTTTTTTAAGAAAGGTGAAAAAAAAATGTAAAAAATATATATATATGATTACTATTGATAGTTAAAAGAAAAACAAAAACAAAGGATTAGTTATTTGGTGCAGAGATGGATTTGAAAAAATAATTACCCACCTCAGGGACGTTCACCGACGTAGAGGAAGTGGAAGAAATGAAATAAAGAAGAGAAAAACAACAACAAGAAGTAAATGTTGTTATCGATTTTTTTTCTCTATCTCTATTCTTTATCGGGGGATTTTTTTTATAATTGTATTTAAATGTTTTTGATGAGAATATTAGCTTTTTTTCTTGATTTGATTTTTTTTTTTTCAATTAGGTCGTTGATTACGGAATTGATATACGGAAAAAGGTCATTATGGCTTTAAATGATTCTTTACTTAATTGCTTATTCTTCGTCTTTTCTTGAAAAAAAAAGAAAGCGGATTTTTTTTATTCTTTTTTTAGTGGGAGTTTTTCTTTTTTTTTCTTTCTTTTTTTTATCGGGCGATAGAAAATTTCACTTGAAGGAAAAAAAGAGATAGGAAGAAAAATATTATCAAAAAAAGATACCTAGTACCTGTAAGAGATTTTTAAAAATACGGGAAGAAAAATTTCATCTTGAATTTGCGATTATCTCGTATTATCTCGTATTATCTCTCATTTATTCTTTCTATCTCAAGTTCTATTCAAGAAACAAAGTCTATGTACGCGACAAACCGACGCTGGTCACATCAGTATTATCTCTATTCTACTTTCATCGTTCTCTTTAGATTCTACCTTTTTATTAACGTTTTTTCAGTCAACTTACATCCTACCCGCGATGACGTCATACCTGCCTCAGTCGTGACGTCATGACCGCCTCAGCTGTGACGTCACGTTGATGCACCGAGCATGTTATTCTCATTTGTAGTTTTTTTTCGTTTTCTTTTCTTTTTTCTTTTTTCTTTTTTATCTTTCGTGGCTACATTCCTTTTTCGTTTCTTTATTTTTGTTATTATTGTTCATTCAAATTCCGTGGCATCAGATATAATTTGTTATTATTTTGATTCTGTCGATTCTTTGACTCATTTTTTTTTTCATTCGTCTACGAATTCTGTGATTAGAAAAAAAAAAAAACATTTAAAAAATCAAATAAAAATGATAGATAGTATGTGCCATACGGTCGATTAATAGATTTAGCCTTTATTTCCATTTCATATTTTCTCTCTTTTTTCCATTAATAATTCTGACTGCCAACAGATTATGGTAATAATAGTAAAGTGAAAACAAACGTCATTAGTGATAATGATAATAATGATTGCTTCTATCACCCACACACTTTCTTCACTACAAAGCATTATTAGTGCCCTGGGCTTTAATTATCAATTATTTAATTAAATGTGGGCAATAGGCCTACTTTTATAAACCAAAGATTTTTAGACTAAGATGCAACACCGTTACATATGTATGTATATTTCTTCCCTCCTCTCCTCCCTCCCCCCCCCCCCCCCGCCCCGGTTTTGATAAGTTTAATTTAAACTTTTTTTTCATTTCACATCTTCGTCAATTCGAATTTTTTTTCGTTTTTTTTTTATATGTATTTTTGGGTTTATTTTGATTTTGTCTTCTTCTCATTTTGACTTACACTATTAAGCGGGTTGCATTTTGGAAGAGTTCTCGAAACACTGTAAATATTGTATATAAGATAGTTTATATTTGTATATGTACTGATAGATTTTAAACTGACATTGAACCTTAATCCCTAATTTGTACAATCACGAACATTAAGAGAGAAAAAAAAAACAGTTTTAAAAAAAGATCAGAATCTCTGCACCAAATAACAAATATTTTTTTTTTTTTTTTTCTTCTTTTTATTGTTATATCAAGTGATTTAGGGAGAACATCAGTTTTCATCTCTTTCAGTATTGTATCATCTTGTTCTTCTAAGGGAAAACAAAGTGTTATTTTTGTCCTGTTTTGTTCTATTTGTGTTGACTTGATCTATGGACGTGATGTGATGTGGCCAGAACTAAAACCCCCCTTTAAAAAAATGTGTATATTGATGATATTGATGTGAAGTGATGTGAAAGAGAGACAAGAGATATAGTGTGAACAAGAAGAAGAAAAAAAATGGTCCGATATGTGAAAAAAGAAAAAAAGAAAAAGAAAAAAAATCCCACATCAAGGTTGTCTTTCTTTGTTATATTGTTTTGTAAGAAAGAAATGTTTTTTTCTTTGAAGAAAATCCGTGTTGTGAATACGAGGAAGAAGATGAGAGAGAAAGGAGATACAAAAAAACAAACTATAAATGGGATTTTATTTTCTGAAAATCAAAATAAGATAAGGAATCACATACGCAGGACCAAGAGGTGTGTCAGAGCTATGTTCAATTACCTCACCATCTTCAGTCTATCACCTTCACCATCAATCATCACTATTTGTGCGGCAGGAATCGTGGAATTCGAGAGAAAGAGGGACAGAAAAAGGAAAAGAAGAAATTTTCTCATCCTCCTACCAAAAAAAAACTCTCTCCCGGCGCCAGTGCATGCAAGTGACGGCGTTCTTGTAAGCATTGTTGTGAATGTCGGCGTTCTTGTAAGCAAATTCGTGAATCCGAACGAAGCCAGTTGACCAGAAAGGTTTAAGCGACAGGGTATTTGCTGAGTCAAGCGTGCTGCTGATCCAAACTGTTTCTAATTTATATATATAAATATATTTTCATCTTTCCCCCCCTCCATTTTTTTTTTCTTTCGTTTTTTGTTGGACTTGATCGGGTGGATACACACTGTAGGTTAGATTTAGAATGGTTGAGTAAAAAAAAGATAATATATATAAATATATATGTAACACGATGCAGGGAAATGATAATGATATTAAAAACCACATTGAAAATGAAAGTAAACGCCCTCCTTTTCTTTCATTTATGATTTAGCTATGATTATTTATATATGTATAGACTTCGAACGTACCCCATTTTGTGAACGGCATTGCTGATGTAAAAAAAAAAAGAAGAAACAAGATGTCGTCTGGGTCGTTCGTCCAATCATTCAAGCTGGAGGGAACAACCTTAAAGTGTTCAACTTAACCATTAAACCACGTTCAAGGGTGTAGCTCACAACGGACGAGATCGGATAATTGTCGACACAGGTTTTAGACATAACAAATTATACATACACATGACACAGGTGTAGGTTAGTTGATTAGACAAGTCCATGATGAAAAAAAAACGTACATGACACAGACACACATGAACAGATAGCTGCTTGCTGTTTCCCTGCTCATTCGAGGCTGAGAGAAAGGAGAGAATGAAAGGAAGTGAATGAGAGAGAGAGAGAGAGAATTGCTGTGTGACATCATGTTCCATATTCTTGAATTGGGGGAAAACTAAATCCCGTTGTTAATTGTATGCACAGTTTTTATTGTAATTAAGGTAGTACTGAAATGATCTTACTTGTAAAAAAAAAACTGACTGTCACTGATTTTTATTAATGTTGTTTACAGTCATTGTGAAGCAGAACCTCCTTCTTAGTGTGTTTAGAAGTGACTGAGGAATCCCTTTGGCTTTACTTTACACGTGACCAATAAACGCTTGTACCTGCTATGGACGATACGTGAACCTGTAGGGGAAAAGGGTGGGATCCTACTAGATGGTCTTCGATCCCCTTTGCTCTCATCCTCCTCCTTCTCCTCCTGCTCCTCCTCCTCCTCCTCCTCCTCCGCCTCCACCCTCAAACCTCCCCTTTATCAATCCTTCCCACATCCCATTTGATGGCGCTGGAGGAAAAAAAAAGGTTCAAAAATCCTTAGAGAAAGAGAGAGAGAGAGAGAGAGAGAGACTATGAGTGAGTGAGAGAGAGAAAGATACATTTTTTTGCAGGCCGTTGCGAGAGTAAATGCCCATGAAGTTTCTACAGCTCAGACAAACCCGCGTGTAAAGATGCTTTTTATTGATGGTGCAAACTTATGTAGGATTCAATCATGTACAGTCCCTCAAATCCTCTACTGGCGATAGTCACTTGTCTCCTTATACGATCCAACTCTATTACTAAACCTGACAAGCGGTGGAGGACTGTGCACTTTATACTCTCATCTATTTATTAGAATACAATTGGCGTGAAAAGAATCTTTGTACATGTAGAGTTGAATAAATGTATTTATCTTCGTCAGATGTGTCGTTTTTTTACTCCAAGATGTTTGGCATTTTATGAACCTCAATGAAATATTCTCGGTGATCAATATTGAAGAAGAACTGGTATCTATATCCCATGATTAGCAATGATTTCTTTATGGCGTGAAATTGCGAATTTAAACAGATTTAAACAACTTTTGAATGAACAGAATTTTGTTTCTGATTTGTGATGGTATTACTTATTCATTATAAGACATCTATTAGTAATGTTAGTCTAAATAATAAGGTGGAGAATGGCAATACTTATAAAGAGAATAGAAACAAAAAAATGTAATGATAATACAAATTAAATTGATGGTATTGATAATAAAGGTAATGAAAATATTATCATTATCAAATTATACGAACACTGGGAGTGATGATACTGGTAATGATCACAATGAAAATGATAATTATGATAGTTATAGATAATAATAATGATAATAACAATGATAAGAGTAATACACAACAGAATTTACAACAGAATCAACAACAATAGTGATCATAATCATAAAGATGACTATGATAATGACATTGAAGAAAAATAAAAATAACAATATGAGCAGTAATGATAGTATGCCAATAATGGTAATGATGATGCTGTAAATTTGACAACAATGATATATGTGAAGTTGATAACACAAATGGTAATCAGTTGTAATTGTAATGATAATGTTGATGATGATGAAAAAGACTGAT